CAAGACTAAATAAACTATTAAATGAAGTGACTTTGTTTGCTAATTATAACTCCCACATAGACTGCATGAGATACGGCCGGGACCCACATTTGTGGACCTCGAGGGATGCCTAACACCTTCCCCTCGAGGTAACTTGAACCCTTACCCTAATTTCTGGCTCGCTGACCTTACTAGACTTAGTTAGGTTAGATAGGTGCCCTAACGAGTTGTTAGGTCGTGCACAAAACCCGTTTTTCTGCGAAAATGGGGCGCGACATCTTCTACAACTCCAAGACCATAACAGTGATATTAATAATGGCGGAATAATGCTAAGAAGAAAGAATTCAAGAGTATATGGGGAATGGGTGTGACGGGGGACGGTAGCTTAGGAATTTGATTGGTAAAAATTCTAGGTAATATGAAATTGTCCAACAGGAGGAAGACGATTGCCATGAATTTAACTTGCAAATTAAAATTTTCTTTTAAACAAAAAATGAAGGAAAAAGTGGAATCAAAACAAAGTGTACAAGATTTTAAGACTAAAGAAGACAAATGTTTTGAAGAAGAAGACTGCTAAAGGGGTATCAGGTCTAGGGTGAGGCTTTTTTTTAAAAAAAATTAAGAAATTATTGTTGAACTAAATTTTTATTAATTTTAGTTATCTATTCAATGTATTCAGGTATTAAAAAATTACAAAATTAACTTTAAAATTAAAAAAATAAATTTGGGATGTAATCACACGCTCAAGGACAGTGAATTACACTTACCTTGCCACATAATCATTTTGTGTTTAATGGGTATATGTTTTTGAACAAATTAAGTATTCAATTGGTACATGTCGTAGTTGAGATGTTTAAGTGAATTATGCGGACAACTTTAGGAGCCGTCTATGACTTAAGCCTATTTTAAAACAGTTACAATGCATGTATATCACATACATAATTCACTTTTAATATATATTAAATATATATCATAATATTGTTATGTATTACTATAAATAGTAATAAAAATAAGTATCACTAAAACTAGCAATTAATTATTAAAAGGTACACATCCAAGTAATTTTCGAAAAAAGAATCCTAGTAATAAATAGTACTTGCTCAATTTTTTTTCTAAAAATAATAATCTCTAATCTATTATTGCTAAAAGAGAATGACAGACCTCAAATTTGAGGGCGTAAGGTGCTTGCTGAGGAAGCCTGAAACAAAAACCATATCAAAAGAGGGTTTGAATCCAAGTAGAGGGAGAAAACGAATAGATAATCCATTCCAAACTATCTAAAGTTGAGTAATTTCCCTAGGTAGTCACCCATGTTTGGGAAATTACTTAGGAATATCACTTATGTTTGTTTTAGGACTACAATATCACCCAACTTTGCCTATTTTCCTAAAAATATACTTGACACAAAAAATACATTATTTCTCTCCTACTAGAGTGCAATGCCACATTTTTTAATTTATTTTTCTAATTCTTTTAAAGAACCGGGAAACCCACATATTTTCTTGAAGAATCGAAGGAGCTTATAGTACAATTCTTAATGTAATTTTTTACTGGGTATAATATGTGGGCAGAAAGGATTCGGGTGGGGGAGCATCTACCTCCTCTCCCAAGCCTGATGAATGGAAAATGGCGCTAGATCTATCGGATAATTAAGTTGCACCGGTTTGTCTTATTTTTTAAAAACGGAAAAATGTCATATTTGCCCTTGTACTATTAGAAAAGAGTTATATTTATCTTTTGTTATACTTTTTGGTTATATTTGTCCCTACCATCCAACTTTGGATTTATATTTACCCTTTGGGTTGTTAAGTTCCACATCACCCTTTTTTTTTTATCATATATGTCTTCTACATGGATATAATACTTTCTAATTTAATTATTATACCTCATCTCCAAAGAATTGAAAGGAATAAAGTGAAAAAATATTTTCCAATTATTTCCAAGAATTTGGCAATCCGAGATATTTAAACACAATCTGCAACTTCTCAATAACCAAGCGGCGACTTTACCATTTTTTTGTACTATATAAATGACATCACTAAACAATTGAACTCCAAATCTACCTACCGCCGTTTACTCTTTATTCATCAAAAACTTGAAAAATTGGGAAAGAGATAAAAAAAAAAAATTAGGAAGCTTTTGGCGTGAGTCGTGGGGAAAGATAAATCTATCATATTTATGATATGAAAAATATTGACTACACCGCCAATGTCCATGGCTTCCAATTATTTCTCCTTTTCCATACAATTTCTTCCAGTTATTTTTTCTTTCAGAAAGAGTTGTTATGAGATTTAGAGATTGTCATGCACCACTCTTAAAATTTAATTAGAGTGATAATAAATTTCTTATAGCCATTTTATTTTTGAGATCTTATACATATTATTTTTTTTAAAGAGAAATTTTTTGTGGGAAATGGAAAGGAATGAGGGATTTGGGAAGCTTTTGGCATAACTGGGATGAATTTTGCCATCCAAGTGTTTAAACATAATTAGGAAATATTTTTTTACTTGGTTACTTTCAATTTTTTTCCGTAAGGTGTAAATAAAATTAGAGAAAATTATATTCAAATAGGAGTCATGTAGAATAATAAAAGGGACTGATGGAGAATTTAACAATCCAAAGGGTAAATATAAACCCAAAGTTGGATGGTAGGGGCAAATATAACCAAAAAGTATAACAAAGGGTAAAATATAACCCTTTTCTAAGAGTACATGGGCAAATCTATCTATACATAATAGGAGAAGTAAAAAGTGTCACATGTCAGCACCACAAATACTCAAGAATTGTAGTTTTTGAAAAAAACATTTTAAATATGTTCTAAAAATACAATTAAAGAAAAACAGGAATTTTATTAGCTATTTTAAATAGAAAATAAAAGTTCTTTTGTTAAAAAAAACTGTAATGGCAAAAAATTGATGATTTTTAAATGCCTCTAAATTTCAATTTTAAAGGAAAAAAAATGAAGTGGAACTATTTCTTTATATATAAAAACAGTAATGGCTTTTATGGGAAAAAAATAAAAGATCTTTAAATGCTTCAAATTTTAATTTTTAAGGTTAAAAAATGAAAATCAAAAATTGAATTATTGTATGAAAAAAATTGTAATGTCTATTTATATTTATCACATTTTCAGTTATTTTAGCGTATGATCCGATAAAATTGAATATAAAAATATTTATCTAAAAAGGATAGAAAAAGTGCACCATAAAAAAGCTATAATTATTATTTAAAATTAATTAAAAAACTTATAGTGAAAAATAATGATTATCATTAAAAAATTAAAAAACTTATTTTAAAAAATAGTTAAAACAGTCCATTAGTAGTTAGTTGTAGAAATAGGATACTTTCTTTTTCCATTCATTTTTAAAATTTATCTTTATATATCTAAAAAAACATTTACAAAAAACACAAATAGAAAACAGTATTTAAAAAAAACATATTGCAACTTAACGTTTGAATAGGTTTAAAGCATATCTTTTAATAATAAATAAATAAATAATGTGAAATGACATCCTAATAGGAGAGAGATAATGTATTTTTTGTGTCAAGTATAATTTGAGGAAAATAGGTAAAGTTGGGTGCTATAGTAGTCCTAAAACAAACATAAGTGATATTCTAAGTAATTTCCCAAACGTGGTGACTATCTATGGAAATTACTCTCTAAAGTTTTGGTAGATAGAGTTACACACATCTCCAAAGACATTTTATTTTCAAATGCAGTCGCAAGAGCAGTTACGTCAAGATCACACCCACCAAGTTGATTAAATTTTATCTACATTAGGACAAATGGTACATATCAACATTATGTACTTGGATCATCGGGCGTATTCACACCACATAATCTAATTTGGCAACATTTACTGACTCCAGAAAATCAACATTACTAAAACCTAAATGTTCAATCACTTTGACAATGTTACCACAAATCGTCAGACCTTTGGTACACTTCTTCAATCTAGAAATGCTTTAATACTACAGGACTAAATATTACCATATCTTTATAGCACCACATTTATACTCATCGATCCAATGGAAGCAAGCAAAAACCTTACTGCCTTCAGTAAAGACTTTAGGTGCATTTCATAGACATAAGTATCTTAATCCTTCTGTTATTGAATATCATAAATCATTCCTAAGTTGTCGTTGTCACACCACCACCACCAACATTGCTCACTTAGTAAATGTAAAATTGTGTGTCAGAAATACTTACCTTTAATAAAGCATAAGAAAAAATGAATCATATGTGAACAGTAAAAGATAAATAAAAGAAACAGAGGTTGAAATTAGACTCACCAACTTGCAAATTTCATCTAAAGACACAAGGTCGTGAACAACCACGGTTTAATTCCGTGAACGATTCGTAGCCTATAATAGATAAACAATATCTCAGATTTGAATCCTCGTTGGTCAATCACAAGTTGCAAATGGATAGTAAGGTCTAGCAGATTAAGAACTCACTGTTGAAGAAGTGGGTCCTCAGAGGATGTAGCACCACTATTAGAGGTCTGCACAAAAACTGGGGTTCTTCCATCTACGGCCTGCATGGAGATACATAGACACATTAAAACTGAAAAATGAATCATCACAACAGGATGTGAAAGGTAATAGCCTGATTGATGATTAGTAACTGAAACCAAACAGGTTGCTAACACAGATGAGCATAGCAAGGAGAATTAGATGAGTAATGCTTTACATAAATAGTTTCCTGTGAGTCTGTGACATAACCTCTGAACTTATGCCAACGGAAGTATGAAATTAATTAGCAGACGTATAATTTCTCTAGTTTTGCAGTAACTGGTATCAGAACCTCAAAATTATGGGTCTCAAAGAGAAAACAACAACAAAAACCCAGTATAGTCCCACAAGAAGGGGGTCTCAAAAAGCAAATGTAATTCAATTTGCCTCTCCAACCATAACTCCGAGAAAGACCAAATTTTGACAGAGAAACCACTTATCACCTTTCTATATGTAGACCTTAACATGTGTCATAAAATGTCAACATGAGGTCTCTGGTTCAAATCCAGAGGAGGAGAAAAAAACACTAGGTGATTTCATCCAATCTGTCCAAGCCTCAGTAAAACATAGTTAATCGATACTTGTGCTAGTGAGAGGTAACATGTTTCTAGTGGAATTGATTGTGGTGCACGCACGCTAGCCTAGGCACCAACTGAACTATACTTGGATCTTTTAGGTAATATTTTATACCTTTCAACTGGTCCTCTTTTTCTTCAAGCAGGGTAAATGATAAATGAAAGACAGATAACCTGAGAAAGTTGGAACAATGTTGAAGTTTTGTAAGACCCTAATACAAAGGGAAATCTGGCCCATTATAAACGGATAGTTCGCACGAGAGTATTGTTTCTAAAAGGATCAACTACCATAAGATTCTCCATGATTAGAGATTGGTGAGAATACATCATGATCTTTTCGAGTTGGCCCAAGAAGAAACCTACTTGCCAAAGACGAATTTTCTCCTTCCTTGGGGGAGGAAGAATTTTAATTTTTATATTGGAATGTCCTACTGGAAAAAGATTCTATATTGAAAAAAGATCACTATTGTATGTTTTAAGATTTTTTGATAGATTTTCACATTTATTTTCATATTCATCTTTTAGATAGATTATGCCTTAATTTTTAAGGTTAGATTTTAGGGAAGTTATGCAATATGGCAATCATGTGATATGTTTTCACTATACACAACTATAATTTAAAAGAATTACAAATTCACAGCTATAGTTAGAACTTAATTGAAAATGTCTCTCCTCTATCCCGCGGCTATCTCCTCCCACTCTGCCCTCTCTCGCTCACATCTCTCTTCACCTTCTATAGCCCACAAAATGTTCCACATAATATGGCAAAACATGTCTGTGTCATCTGTCAATGGTTTTACGACAATTTATATCCTGCCAAATGTATTTGATTTTTTTGGATAAAGTTAAAGTTGTATTCTTTAGAATTAAGGTTATGCTGTCTACTTCCAAAAAGTTACAAGCTAAAACCATAGTTACATTGATCCTAGGAAATCTACCAACCGTTCTGCTACTTCTATACCCTCTTCTTTACACCAAAAAAACAACATGTTAATGCAATTTTCTTTAACTTTCTGCATAGTGTTAGTAATAATCTCATGACACCTTAGATTTCTCTCTCTCCAAATAGCCCCCCAGAGGTAGCTATAGATTGGGAAAAATGGGAATGCAATCATTTAGAAGAAGGAAACTCAAAATGATTAAACAACCACCATAGTGTCAATAAGACAACAATGAGGAATGGCATGGATGGACTGAAGAATCTGTTCAATTTGTTGAATAGGTTATCTTTTTCAAAATATTTCTTGTAAAGGGAGAGTCTCCCTAATTTATGTATTCTTAGAAACGTTTTATTATGAGAGGAGTCCTCTCTAGGTGCTTAGTTTATTAGATTACATCTTGTTGTATGTGGTTAAGTTGATGAACCTTAGTAGGATTAATCAACTATATACCCAACATAAGAAATGAGGTAAGGTTTATGTTCCCCTCCATGTACTTTTGATTTTAATAAATGATAAGGCCTGGGGGTGTTGCTCAGCCCCTGACCCACCACAAGGGTCGTTAAATAAATAAAAAAAAATAGCCCCCCAGACACAAGCTGGTACTATAGACCACCATTTTTTTGTGTCTTGCTCCCCTCCCTCCTTATCCAGCAGCTTAAAAGATCAGCAGTATGTTCTTGCATCACCCAAGGCTCTTGAGAAATGTTGTACACCAAGCGCCACACCTGAACAATAACTATACAGTGTAGGAATAAGTGGTTGTTAGTTTCTTCCTTCTCATGACAAAGAAAACATCTGGAGATAATCTGAAAGCCTCTTTTTTTGAGTTTCTCCTGAGTGAGACATGCCCTTTTGGTGATCAACCAGGTGAAGCATTTCACCTTGATTGGGGTATTTCCCTCCCATATTTGTTTCCATGGACCATGAATTCCCCCATAGTGAGTCATGACCTCTCTCTTATACGGCCTACGTATAGAGAACTTGCCATCAGAGTCATGTTTACATCTTATACCATTTGCTTCTGTAGTAAGGCCCGTGAATTCACCCAATTTGAGTAGCAGTTCAACAATTCTATCCACTTCCCAATCATTTAGATTTCTCCTGAAGGTGAGGTTCCATCCATGAGGGGACTAAATCTCAGGAATTTTAGCCTCAGGATTGGTTCAAAACGAGAAAAGATCGGGGAAAACCGAGTTTAGAAACTCTTGTCCAATCCACTTGGCCTTCCCAAAAAAATACTTTGTTACCCTCTCCCACCTTGACCACTAAATTCTTCTTCAGACTATCCCATAAATTTCTGATTGATCTCCAAACTGATACCTTATACGTGCTATCCGCTACATTAGATATCCACTCCTTGATCTGCCCATACTTGTTGAGAATTGCTCTTCTCCATAATGCCTCATCTTCAACCACAAATCTCCAAAGCCATTTAGAAAGTAGACTTTTGTTCTGGACCCTCAGATTTTTTTATGCCAAGACCCCCTGTCTTCTTGCTTAATAATGTTGTTTGTCATTTAACTAAGTGTATTTTTTTTCTTCTTTCTTCCCCGCCCATAGGAAATCGCACCTTAATTTATCCAACCTCTCTTCTACCTGTGCTAGTAAAGGTAAGAGAGACATAACATATGTAGGCAACACATCTAGAACCGAATTGATCAGAGTGACTCTACCTCCCAGAGATAGATAGTTTGCCTTCCAATTAGCCAACCTTTTTTCTGTCTTCTCAATGATTCCATCCCAAATCACCAGCTCCTTATGATTATTCCCCAAAGGCATTCCCAAGTAAGTAGTTGGTAAGTTCTCTATCTTGCATTGCAAGATGCTTGCCAACATCTGAATATTTGCCACTTCCTTAACTTGGAAGATGCTGCTTTTCCCCCAGTTCATAGCCAGTCCGGAGATGGCCTCAAAAATCACCAAAACAACTCTAATGTAACTAACTTGTTCAGCCTTTGCATCATAAAATATTAGTGTAACATCTGCATATAAAAGGTGACTTATCTTCAAATTGACCCCTAACTGATTACCAATGTTGAAACCCTTTATCCAGTCCTTCTGATTTGTCACTCTAATCATACTGTTAAGACCCTCCATAGCTAAAATAAAAAGGAAGGGGGAGAGAGGGTCTCCCTGTCTTAATCCTCTCTCAGAAGGAAAAAAACCAGCAGGTTCTCCATTAACAAGTATGGAGAACCTGACAGTTTTGATACAAAATCCTATCCATTTAAGCCATTGTCTCCAAACCCCATCTGCCTCAGTATATTAAGTAGAAACTCTCGATTGATATGATCATATGCCTTTTCTATATCAAGCTTGCACATGATTCATGGATCTCTCCTTTAATCCTTGAGTCTGCACGCTCACTTGCTATTAACGCGACATCCATAAGTTGTCTTCCTTGAATGAAGGCCATTTGGTGATTATTCACTAATTTACTTATCACTTTCTTTAATCTCTTCGCCAACAACTTGCCAAAAACCTTGTACACTCCACTAATGAGACTGATGGGTCTGAAATCCCCAAGTTCCAAAGATCCTGTCTTTTTTGGGATTAGAGCCACATAGGTGGCGTTTAGACTCTTCTCTATTTCATGTCTTTCATGAAATTGTCTCACTACATTCGTGAAGTATATCTTCAGTATCTCCTAGAAGTTTTGGAAAAAACTCATCGGAAAGCTATCTGGTCCGGAGGCCTTATCATTAGCATATGATTTTATGCAATTAAAAACTTCCTTTCCTCAAATTGCCTTTGCATCCATACATTTTCCTCTTGTGTAATGCTTTCCGCTCCCTGTACTTTAAATTCTGACCTCTTTTATTCTGCTTCTCTGTAGAGATTTTGATAGTAACTGATTATGCTTCCTTAAATTTCTTCTGAATGTGTTACTGTAACCCCTTCAACCATCTGCTTGTTAATGGTGTCTAATCTTTTATGAGTTGTAGCCATCTTGTGAAAATACTTGGTATTTTTGTCTCTGTGTTTGAGCCAGTGTATTCTAGACCTCTGGCTCCAAGATATTTCCTCATTTTTTGTAACATCTTCAAACTCCATTAAAAGGTGTACTTTCTGGAGTAACTCATCCTTTGATAGTAATCTCGACTCTTGAGTCTTTTCTAAAATTGACAACTGATTTAAGATTTCCTCTTTTCTCTGATTCCAATTGTTTCTATTCTCCTGTTTCCATTCTTTTAGCTTCCCCTTTAGCATCCTCAACTTGGTGGCTAGGACATAAGAGCCCGTACCCGTGATATTAAAAGATGCCCACCAATCTTCAACTTTGTGTGTGAAACCCTCCACCATTAACCACCATTGTTCGAACTTGAAGTAAGACTTCTTCAAATTTAAATCTCCACAATCGAGCAAAATTTGATTGTGATTAGAATCTATTTTGGGAAGCATGCTCTGTTTTATCCGTGTGAAGGTCTCATCCCACTGGGAAGAGAATAAAAACCTATCAATTCTGAAAGCAGACATGTGATTGTCCCCCCTTCTCCAAGTAAAAGACCCCCCCAACTAAAGGAGGGTCGATTAAATCCATCTCACTAATCCAATTAGAGAATTCAGTCATTGGCGAAGTAATTTTGTGCCCTTATGATCTTTCATTTGGGTATCTTGTAGCATTAAAATCTCCACACGCTACCCAAGGCCTATTACACAGTTCTTTGATGTTGATGAATTCTTGCCAAAGTTCTATTCTAGTTATTGGATCACACGAGGCATACACACCTGAAAATAACCATGTGAATGCCTAATTAATGCCTTCAAACTTGCAGGTCACCATTTGGTTTGCAGCTAGTACCAACTCTCTTCTCCACACCCGTTTATCCCACATCACTACGATGCCATCACTTCTGCCTATAACATCCAAATGAAACTCCTTCATCCATCTATTTTGCCATAATTGTTTGAAAACATTCACCTCTGATCCTCCTAATTTTGTCTCAACCAGAACATAAATATCAGCCTCCCAATGTTGGAATAATCTCCTAACTATCCCCTTTTTTTTCTGTTCCATATACCCCCCTTATATTCCAAGAAAGGATTTTGACTTTCATTGGAAATTTGTGTTTGTTATTCTCGCCTTGTTTCTTGATTCCCCTTCTTTAAACTTAACATGAAAACTCCAAATTTCTTATCTCCTTTGGGATTGTGTTCTTTGTGTTGATTGGTGTTGTCTCCAACTTCTTCTGCCTCAAATCCCCCATCTTTTGATCAATTCTCAGAAATTTATGAAAAGTCGTCTTATCACATCCTTCAAAATCAACCCCAAAAAGTTGTCTGAGTTTGAGTACATTAGAAGCTTTGTCTTTGATTTCTTGATCTGAGAGACTATCATTAATTTGAAGAGGAAGAGGGTCTTCAAATACTGTAATTTGCTCATTAAAACAGTTGCCCTGATGAAGATTTATCTTATCAGTTTTTGTTGAAATAATTCCTGCCCCTTCAGTGTAAAAAATAACCATAGGCATGTTGTTTTCTTCATCTCCCAACACTATTGACCTAAGGCATATTGCTGCATCTCTCACTCCGGTTCCCATCTCCATCTGTGATAAGTTTGAACTCGGAAAAAAGTTATTCTCTATCGAAAGGATGTTGCCAACAAAAGTTTCTTTTTCTAACTGAATGGGGTCTTTCTTAGGCAATTGGTCTTCATGAGACCCACTGTCATTTATCCTAATTTGGTCCACCACTTCTAATACAACTCCTGGGGCCACATTTTTTTATTATTTCCCTCACTTGTTTTTCATTCAGACCTGCGTGTTCCTCTTCCCCTTTCTTTTACCAAATTAACCGTGTATCATTACTCAAAATGTTTTGCTCGGACTCCTTTGTGATACAAGTCATCAAAAAGTTTTGTTGTGGGAACTCCCTTCCAGAAACAAGTTGTGTTGCATCTTCTAATTGCTGGACCTGCATTAGATTCGAATTTCGTCTGAATCTCACCGGAGCTTCACACCATACTGGCAAAGAAAAATTAAATTCTCACTCACTTCTACATATGCCGGAATTTTCTTCAGAGATCCTTTTACTCGAATACGGGCCCATCTCAGGTGATTCTTGAGTTGGGTTTCTTCTTCTGTTTTAATCCATCTGCCGCACTGCTCCCCTATCCCCTTCATCACATCAGTCCAAAGATGTAATAGTAGTCCCAAAATTCGAACCTAAAACCAATCAAATTGTTGTTGGGCTTGAATAGATCTTGTCGTCGGTCACCACCTTTCAAGTTCTAGTAGATGGTTGCTCCTACTCCATCTCCGTGCTAAAACATTTTCAGCATCTCTTGTCGACTGAAATTTGAAAAGGAATTGGATCCTATTCAAGTCAAATACTTGTATATTGTGAATACCTCTATATGTGTTTTGCGCCCATTTCCTAACATCGTTGTGAGAAGGTATCTCATCACAATCTAGGAGGCTGCCAACTAGACTTCTCCTCAAACGATCCTTATCTCTATTGGTGCTGTTCTTTGGAGCTAATTGATGTTCATTAGGGGGTCATCTTCTTTTTTTGAAGAGCTTCCTTATAACTTCCTTTTCCTTTTTGTCCATTTCTGATTATCTCACCTGCATTTAAGGTTTCTCTCTGTAAAATTTCAGCCTTAGTAATAAAGACCTCAATTTTCTTAGAGAGATCAGACCAGCCAACAATAAATGAGATTTCAGGGAGAATAATAATAGATCTCAGCTCTCCTTTAACAGTTTTAACAGACATAAATCTACCATATTTATTGTAATTTAAAGAGCAATAAATAAGAGTAGTTAAATCTCTGCATCTCCAAGTTTTGAAGGATTTCCCTTTGATTTCTGAAGCTACATTAAATCTTGTGAAATTAGCTCGTAGGCCTAACTCACACCCCAAAAGCTAGATCAAAGAGAGGAGGTTTGCCCAAGCCTTATAAGGAGTTCACCCATCTCATTAACAACCGATGTGGGACTTTTGTCATTCTTTAACACCCTACCTCACGCCCAGTGCTTAACATCTGGTGTGGGCAATTTTGAATTTGAGGGCCCCCAACACTGGTGGGATGGGCCCTGCTCTGATATCATGTAAAATTAGATCTTAAGCCTAACTCACACCCCAAAAGCAAGCTCAAAAGGAGGAAGATTGCCCAAGCTTTATAAGGAGTTCACCCATCTTATTAACTTGTGAAATTAGGTCTTAGGCCTTACTGACACCCCAAAAGCTAGCTCATTAATTTGTGAAATTAGGTTTTAAGACTAACTCATACCCCAAAAGCTAGCTCAAAGGAAGGAGGATTGTCCAATCCTTATAAAGAGTCTACCCATCTCATTAACAATCGATATGGGACTTTTGTCATTTTTTAACACCCCACCTCACGCTCAGTGCTTAGCATCTGGTGGCGTGAATGATTTTGATTTTGGAGGCCCCAATATCGGGTTAGACGGGCCTTGATCTGATACCATGTGAAATTAGGCCTTAGGCCTAACTCACACCCTAAAATCTAGCTTAAAGGGAGGAGGATTGCCCAAGCCTCATAAGGAGTTCAACCATCCCATTAACCATCGATGTGGGACATTTGTCATTCTTTAACACCCCACCTCACGCTCAGTGCTTAGCATTTGGTGCATGGACAATTTTGATTTTGGGGGCCCCAACATCAGGTGAGACGGGCCCTGCTCTGATGCCATGTGAAATTAGGTCTTAAGCCTAACTCACACCCCAAAAGCTAGCTCAAAGGGAGGAGGATTACCCAAGCCTTATAAAGAGTCCACCCATCTCATTAGCCACCGATGTGGAACTTTTGTCATTCTTTAACAAATCTTATGCATAGCCACTGTAGAGCTACTCTACTCAACTCCAATCTTTTCACATACTGTCCAACACTCTTCACCCATTCAAACCTAGATTCTGAAGCTAGCGTAGTATTAGTTAAGTCATAAGACTTACTACCTAATTTGAAAAAGATTTTGTTATCCATCTCTGTTTAGAAAAGAAAAGAAAGTGCTTTAAACTAAAGCGGAGCGGGAGGTGAAAGCCCTTTTGGCCTTGATCGAAGGAAGAAAAAGAATAAGATTTGATCTTTTGTCGACTCACGCATCGGCGCGTGTCGTGCGTGACATCAATATTTAAGAAGAAGTGGTGGCGCGTGCAGGCGCGTCAGAGACTTTCTGGTGATGAGTCTTTTTGGGCTTGAGTCTTTAGAGGCTTTGGTGGAAGGAGATTGTCAGAAAAGGAAGAGGGAGGGAGGATTCCAGTGATCAGAAGGATTGCCTGAGGGGTTAAAGGTTGTGAGTTAATTTAAAAATTACATTGGGTTTCGTCCTGCCAATTGTATTTGTTAATACACATACACTTGATACAATTATATTCGGTAATATAAATCAATTGTATTCGTGTACTTAATACAATGAATACAACATGTATTCCCCCCTCCCCTCCCAATCTCGCTAGCCTCTATCCTCCTTCTAACATGTAGCTAAATACAATAAGTTTTTTATACAATTATATTCATTAATACAAATCAAGTATATCAATTGTACTCGTGACTATTATTATTTCAAAGACACTTCAAAAACTCGTGAAAGTTTGATTAGGGAATAAATTGTATCTTATTCTCTTTCTACTTCCTCATTTTTTCCTTCTATTTCCCTCTTCCCCTATTTCTATCTCATTTCTCTGTTTTTCTCTTCCTCTTTCTTATTCTCTCTCTTTTCTCACTAAGGCACACAAAAACATACATACAGAAACATTAAGCCATCAAAAAACCATTCACCAAAGAATTGAAAAAAAAAGAACTGAGTCTCACATTGACATGTGTGATATAGTGGCATATGACACATTTAATTGATGGAATGATTAGGACCTGAAGATCAAGAGAAAATTACATTTGTTCCAAATTTGCATAAAACCAAAACTAAGAGAAATTAAGAAAATGAAGATACAGATACGAAATCTCAAGTAGAAATGACTACTTATTTAGCTCGCTAAATCCTGTTACTATAGTAAATGATAAGAATTGCAAATTTTAAGTGCTAGTCACCTACGAATTCAATAAAAACACTATTTACAAATTACATTTTTATAACAATTTTTCATTTTCAATGTAACATTGAAACATCGATTCATTGATTACACACACACGAACATATATTTAAAAACACAGAAGACAGAACATATAGTAACACCCATTTCTTAAACATAGCGCAGTATGTTGTCTAAATTACTTGTACCATATTATGTACATTAAACTTGTCCCAGTTCCTAAACATATAGCATTATGTTATCTAGATTACTTTTACCATATTATGTACATTAAACTTTAATTTTTTCAGTAGTTCTTTATGCTATTGTTTTCGGGAAGACATGTAACTCTTACAGATCTTCATTTCCTATATTTTTAACCTTTTTATGTAAAGAGAAAATATGTAGACCAACAATGTTATATGGAAGTGATGTTGGGCATCTTAAGTCCAACACATCTACAAAATGAGCGTCATAAAAATGTGGAGGCTAAGATGGAGGTTCGGTCAAACAAGACTGGACAAGATAAAAAATGACCAGATTAACAAAAAATTTTCTAGTAGGTACATCAAGGATAAAATAAAAGGTCTCTTTAAATGGATTGATCATGTTTTATGTCGACTACCAGATGCACAAAACAATAGTAAGTGAAGGCGTTAAATGCGACGAAGTAGACCTAAAATCACTGGGAAGAAAGTTGTCTCAAAGGATCTACATTCTCTTGGAAATTGGGGATCCTGCAAACTAAGTGCAAGATAGGGCACAATTAAAGAAAATATTTATAGGCTATACCTATTTGTTGGAATATATGTTTTGGTCATGTTAGCACTTTTACTTTATGTCCTACGTTTTTCCAAGCATTGTTCAGCCTTTCAGATATTCATACGTCCCTAGAAAGTATAATGGACTATTACTTTCTACTTTATTTTCATTATTATTTTATTTTAGATAATATTGGATTGCAATGAGTTCATATGTAGTGACAATTCATATAGCCAACCTCAACTTGTTAGGAATGAAGTAAAATTACTGTTGTTGTAAAGAGAAAATATGCAAATATCCACAAATAAAAGCAACAAATACAAGAAGGGAAAATGGAGAATGAAAGGAGTTAGGTGGTACAAACTTTGAAAGTCTGCTTGTTGGAAAATGCGTATAAAGATTTGGTGGAGACAAGTACAACATATAAAAGTTGTAGTAACAGTTAATTGAGGAGAAGATGAAGGACTAAACGTCAAGTAAAATAACCCTACACATGAATGTAAGGAAGTATATCCTAGGACACTAAGAAGTGTATTTGATTTGCTCCCATTGTATGTTTTTATCTTTATCAGCATCAAATATAAGTTTATATTATGTAGTGCCCCCAGTTAACTAGTTTTCAATAAACTGACTATTTAGCATATGAAATAAATTTCAGATCATGTAGTATACCCACTTAACTAGTTGTCAATAAACTAATATACTTAGGATCTTTGGTTCTTGTACTAGAAAAAATAACTCATTTTATTCACATACTAATTATATGGAGAGTATAATCTATCAATTGTGTATTCGGTCAATAATGACAAGATTATTGTTATGGGGAGAACAATAATGAATGGATTGTTAGGCAGTGAATGATAATGTAGTAATTCTTATATGTTGAACAATAATACATAGAATGCTATGTAGGGAGAACATATTTTTAGTACATGTTTGTCTTTGAGTATTTTACCTCTCGTATTGCTAATACATATTCTTTTTCCATATTCTATCCTGTGTAAAATAAGCGAAGATTCCTGCATAACTTGACGCAAATATTATTTAAATGTAGAATTAGTTGTGTAAATTATAGGGCCAACCAAACATTGCATTAGTTATGTTGGGATTATTTTCTTAATCCCTCCAACCAAACACCATACTATTTTTATTGAGATTTTATGATGAGATATTTTACCTAATCCCTAAACCAAACAACACTGAAGATATGAAAATAGATGTTGTAAAAGACAAAAATAAATGGTGGAAAAAATGAAGACATGAAAGGAAAATAAGAAAAAATGGAATATCATCCCTATTATATCCAACTAACATAATGAAGACAGTGCACATATGTTTCGAAGGGACTTCCACTCCAATTTTGAAACGGAGTACTTCGACGCATGCAGTCTTTATCTTTCTTTTCTTTTTTCTCATGAAAGGGAAGCTAATACCTTTTTGATGTACTTCGCAAGTATGCTCTGGATACTAAATGCACAAAATTACTTACCTTATAAAAAAGAATTGTTAATTAGACTGTGATTTCTTAATTTCTAAAGAAAAGAAGTCCCAATATTTGTACCTGGCACAAGGTTCACTGTATGACAGCAGGCACATCTCACACTAGTTGCCCCACGTGGATGCATCAATAAGGTGCGACAACATCCACATATCAGTTGAGCCATTTCCGTTCCTGCATAGAGGGAAGAATTTAAGCAACATCACAAGAATGGATAAGTTGAAGGCATACATAGTGCAGCGAACAACAGTAAGCTGTGTCATTTGGGACAGTTGGCAATTAGTTGATAAAAGTTCATCACACTGATAATTAAATTAGTTTTTTCTCCTTTCAGGATTCGTTGGCGAAGGGATACTATAATTTTTCAGAAGTGGAGATACTGCTCATAAGAAAATGGATGTGACCCATCCTATAATGTAGTGTAAGAAAATGCTTGATTGATGGAAAAATAAGAAGAACAACTCACTGTTTGGGGAGAATTTTCTTCTGTTCCATCCAACAGGGATGACTTGAGTGTTTGAGATATATGAACAACAACCTAGATAGTCATGGTCTCCAAATTCTAGATACAACAATTGATGTGAGTTTATCTCCAACCTTAGAAAACAAGATCATCTGGAAGATGTGCTTGTAGGTTATAGGCTTATAACATGGTGCCTGATTGATCAAATCGAGGTGCACTCATACTAGAACAGATGTCACAGTCGTAAAATTTGGAAAAGCTCTCACTCAACTTTATTATAGGGTAGTACTTGTCAATAATAAGTGTTGAAAAAAGATATCTAATAAAGAAAAAGCTAAGCAACCACATTCTTCTCAACATTGGTTTTAAAAGACGTATAATAAAATTATTTCCTTTCTTGCTTCACTTCACGTCATTTCTCTCAAGAAATAAATTCTTTAACTACTTCCCTCTAAATTGAGCCAAGAGAAAACATGTTCCTTTATAAAATTAATGGAAAGAACATAATGGAAAATGCATTTGCTGGACCAACAGAGAAAGGCTATAATAAGGGGAAAATAAATTATTTCAACTTCCCCTCAAATCTTATAGAGTTCCTATTTGTTCTTCTCACTAACTAAGTTCCTAAAAGAATCACCAAGCAATTGAAACTAACCTTTACCATATCAAACCCATGGTTAAATTTGCCTTGCCAACCAAAACCAAATCAAACCTCAGGTTTAATAATTATCAATGTTCATCATTTAAAAAATATGCACCAATGGTATTCAACTTGTCAACATTTAGAACTTAGGAGCTAGTAAAACTGCCACCTTTCAATCCCACCTGCGTCATTTGTAGTTTCTATTTAATGGATGGTAACAACAAAAGCAAGATACGATTATACATCGTAATGTGTTGTGGACTTCATGTTGTTTGCTTGTACTATTAAATGGTGGATGTTGGTCTCTTGTTGATTTTATGGCTTGATTAGAGGTGACAATTTTAGTCCATATATAGTAAAATGAAATCATTTTGCCATATTAAATTAAATGGATCAGTCATATTTTCTTTACTTTTCTTAAATGGGTTCATATGGTATTCAACCAATTTAAGCTCATACAAATATGGATAAAATGGGTTAACATCAGAATCCATATCCAGACCATATAAGTGAAATGAAACTATTTTGTCCATATTAAATTGAATGAATCACTCATATTTTCTTTCCTTTTCTTAAATGGGTTAAAATGGTCTTCAACCTATTAAGCTCATACAAATATGAAGAAAATGGGTTAACATGAGAATTCATATCCAGCCCATATAAGTGAAATGAAACAAACTTTTTTTTGTTTTCGAAAAACAGAAAAATTTAGGGGTGGATTGGTGGAAGGTCCACCGGGGGGTGCCCGAAGGGATGATTTAATTTATTTTTTTTGTAAAAAAGATTTTTTTTTTGTTTATGGAGAATTTAGGGGTAGGTTAGTGGGGGGGATGCTCAGGATGGCTATAATTTTTTTTTTGAAAAAACACTTTATTTTGTTTTCGGAAAACAAAAAAGTTTAGGCGTCAGATGGCGTAAAGATCCATATTTCCGCATATTATATTTGGATGGAGTGTAATCTAAACCATTTTTTCTCAATCCATATTCAACTTATCCAAATCCGATTCAATCCAACCATTTGCCACCCCTAGTCTTGATTATGATTTGATAATTGATAGTGTTTGGGTGGTATAACGTCAATTTCCTACTACATTTTTTTTCTACTTCAGATTGTAAATTAGTTTTCTGATCTTCTAAATGTTAAGTCTTTTCCTCTGTAAATTCCAGAGTTTTAAAAAGATAATTTACCCTTTTTTTTCTTTGGGGGGACACCCAAAGCTGCTTTTGATGCAAGTCATAAGGAGTGCTCAACTGGAGTCAAGCTCTAGGGTCATTTCATTCTCATAATAAAATTATTGCAGCACATGACCAGACAAGTTGCCTTTGCCTCGCTGACAAAAGAGAATATTATTTAAGTCGACGCAGGATAGATGGCCGGGTCATACTCCACAGCACTTGATCTGTGGACCGATATTAAACTAGGAGATTCTCAGTGATTAAAAAAATATTGTTTGAATTCTCACAGAACACTAAAACCTAACTGTATAAATTCTATTTAATCAAGACAATAAGCTTTAATTGGCACAAAATGTTGTCCCTTCTTCATTGTAAATTCGTGTGTTTCTGACATATAATCCACGTTAATTACAACCGCAATGTTGTGTTTAAAATATATTTGAATTGTTAACAAAGCTACAGAGTGATACTAGAATGCTGGAATATAAATCTCATATGTAGCAACGGTTGAAATTTTTTTGGATAAATTGAGATATGGTATCATGAATGAAATAGAACCAGGAAACTATAGTGAAGGGAGAAGTAGAGACTATCCTAGCTACAAGCTCACCAACAATTTAAAAGTCTTGGCAACATAGCTCACCAGGCGAGGAGGATTGCTAGTGTCAAGGAAAGGCCTACCTGTTATCTTGCTTAGCTAGGAGAGAAAAAATCCAAGGAGGGCCTCGCCTTTCCCATTTCAAGTGAGGAGAAATTTTGAGAAAGAAAATTCTGGAGCCAAAATACTGACAATCAGTAATGAGAGGCTAATGGTGAGATTTAGCAAGAAGCTAAACTATCTAAAAATTGGATTTCTTGCAATGAGAGGAAGTGACTGGAAGCTGGCCTTAGCCAAAGAAAAGGGTCTTTCCAAGTAGGACTTCACCAAGGGAGAAGATTAAGAATTCATTATGAAAACTCATTTATTGAAACTTTGACAGCTTTTTGAAGAGGAAGCATTTCACCATCAATGCTACTTTGAGGTACGTCATCAATAGTCATTTATGATAGATCTCGTCTACTTATTACATGTAACCCTCCCATGGGTTAAAATTCACCAAAAACTCAAAGTCCATCAAGAACTTGAAAATTTCTAGTGTTTCTTCAAGACGTAATGTCGTGTTTTTTTTATTTCAATGTGATAAAAATATCATATAATGAAGGTATTTAGACCATTTGAATTGTGGATTAAGTGAACTCTAGAAACATGAATTCTTGAAAAGATAATATATCTAGTGGAGAAAAAAATAAAAGTAAATTTGGGCTAGAGAATGAATTAAGTATTCCATGAACCCCAATGACTAGGAACTATCATTTATGGTAGATCATTTAAATATGAATTAACAGAATAATAGAAGAAGGAATATATGAACCCTAAACGGGTTTTTTATTTATTCCGTTTGTTGGATATTAGTTGAAATTGGAACCGCTCTATGTAGATTAAATTGCGGTGGATGCTTGGATGTCTTTTGGGTTTTATTGAAGAACGTAGACAAGGTAAGTTAAGGTGTACCTCTTTTTAAAGGCATTTTATTAAAAATGCATGGCTTCCAAAATCATGAAAAACGTTTGACCGGTTAGTATGAGTTCATAGGCACAAGCCAGACATACTTACCATGCTTTGAATGACTTTTGCTAAACTTCTATGTTATGGACATTTTATACCTTATGCTGGCTAGACCTAATCTTAAAATTGAAAATAACAATTATGACATGTTTCTACATGATATGTGATTTCCTTATGAACATGTTTATGTTAAAGACTCATGCTTGCACGTTTTACTTGATTTCAAATATGAAATCTATTTTCAAGTTCAAAATCAAAATTGAAATTTTATATAACAACTAGTCTTAAATGACTCATAAGCTAAACATGCCAAAATTTGAATGTTTACAGGACCAAAAGATGATTAAATGATCTAACCTTAGAAACATTTATCTAGAAACTACTCATGCTATTCATGCCATTTTTAATGGCGGCTGCTCACATTATTTCATAAGGAGGTATTTTTTTGTGCTTTCACTTATCATTGAAACAACGCGAAATTATGGTGAGACAGTCTTGCGACCGGATATTGTTCGTCCGTCATGATGTCCAAATCGCATATATGCTATGACTGCCCAATTAAGGAAATGTTATGTTTAGTTATACTAAAAGTTTATTATTACAATTTCCAAATATTTATTGCTTTCCATAAATGGATCATTATGAAATGCTTTAAGATATTATGCTACTAGGTAAATTTCTCGTGCTTCGCACGGTGGTGAACTACATCAATGATCTACTTCTGAACATTTGATAATACAAGTGGTTTTGAGAGTACAACCCCATGATAAATTGTCAAGAATATTTTATCCAAAGAAGAAATGATATGTTTTTTTTAAATCTTAAAACGAAAAAGATTTGATTCTAAGTCCTTATGAATTTTGTTATTAATTCTTTATTTTACTGTAGTTGTTCATCACTAAATTCTTTATATCATATATGTAATTGTTTCATTGTCTATATTTGTATTTTAAAAAGTGGTACAAATATTTCATTCATCAATTGCAAGAGTTTTTCTCCTATTCAAGGCATCTACATACAAAATCATAATATTATACATCTTATGTAGTTAGTTGTGTACTTGATAAATTAATTAAAATATAAAAACACATCTCTTGAAGTTCAATGAAATAACGTATATCGCTCAAATAATTTAGATTAAATATGTCCTGGCAAATCCCTTATTCAAAATCATAAGCAGTCGATGACACTACTTTGATAGTCAAAGACATATTTTGTTGTTTATGTACTTATAAGGAAATAATTATTTCTTTAATATTTGCTTAATATAGATTCATCCTACTTTGAGGGGTAATTCATGGACTCCAAACCCAGAATTTGAACCCCAAATGTTTGATTAAGGTTGAGTACAATACTTACCATCCCACTACATTCATTTATTTTTTGGATGTCACTAAGATTGAATTCTTCGATAAGATAGAAATTTGAATAAATATTTCTCCAAGGTAGTGTGGACCACCATAACTTTTGAACACTAAAAGTCTCTTCTTGGACATCCCATGGATCTTTTAGCCACTGAAAACTCTATAAAGTTCAAAGTCATGTATTTTACAAGATTAAGAATTCTAATATACATGACACCAATAGTTTAATGATTATATCAAACTCGTGATTAACATATCTTTACTTCAACATAATGATCAAAAGCATAAACATAAAAAATAAAGTTTAAAAACATGTACTCAAAAATAAAATTTAATCATAAATTAATGACCGTAAAAAAAATGAGGATATGTAATAATAAAATGAAACATCAAGGAAAACATCGAGCCACTAAATTCACATTGCTCCCGTAAGAAAATTATTTCATTCTAGTGCTCGAGGTTGAACGATTCTATTCACCAGTGTGTTGATAGAAAAACAATTGTGTTAGTGAGTCAAGAGCAAAGTACACGAATATTTAATTGTGCAGAAGAAAAAGAAGAAGTTAAAATTTTTGTTGTTTTAAAATGAGAGGAAATCCTTCTATTTATAGACAACAAAGGGTTGTGTGAATAAATGTTTATTGTGCCTTATCGGAAAGGTCACAACTCTTTGGACAAGTCATTATCTTTCATAAAAGTCACAATCTTTCATAAAAAAATACAACTATTCATAAAAGCTGCAACTCTTCATAAAAGTCATAACTCTTAGTAAAAGTTGCAACTTTTCATAGAAGTCAAAACTTAATTTTAAAGTCCCAGCTTTTCATAAAAGTCACAACTTTTCATAAAAAAATGACTAATTTTGGAAATAAATAAGTTAAAGAGAATCTTGGCATGTGGTGACGCCACATAGGCGGGCTTAGGGTTCTCTTTTACATAAATATATGATATGATTAATGCATTACCGTGTTTTAAAGTATCGTTTCAACCTTATCAGTTGGAGTCAAAAATATCTAGATGGTACAAGGTACAATTTACCTAGCTCCCATGGGCATTATTGTTTTTGTAGTATGTTGCGAATACTGTTACATTCAGAGCTGACAGTACAAGCTAGGTCTCATCTCTTTAGTTTTTCTATATTGATGAGCCTACCTCAATCATCTGAGGGAGCTAGTTTAGATCCTTATTCTTTTGTTTAGCAGTAACATGTCTCATGTATATTCATAAAGGTTCCATGATACTTCTTGTGAGAGTTACATATATATACAAAGGGATTCATTATTTTGCTTCCTCATGTTCATGATGATGATTCAGTTTTATGTTATGTTTTGCCTATGTATCTTATCTTTGGTTTCCGCTATGATGAGGTTATTAAGCCATAAGTTTTAGTCATACATTTTCCCAATGTTGGTGTTATAGTTATGTAACTGCATGCTCATTGAAATAGGTAGACAAGTCTACGTGGTATTCCTAGAGTAAGTTTACGGGTGCATGCCATACTCCTCCTTCTTGGAGCATTATATTTACATTAAAACCCTGAGATGGGTCTCAGCTTGAAGGTGGTATAGATTGCAAATCCTCTGAAGTTTTCCTACCTAAGTTCAAATTCTTCTTCTTCCACTTTCTTAATGTAGAACTCAAAGAAGAGAACTAAGTGTTTAACTAAGGGGCAAGCCCCAATCTATAGCTTATGCATTTCTCTTTGTGTTTGAACATCTTCCTTGCTAACAAATATCTTCGCTTAGCATGTCAAATTTCTTGCTTTCTGGCTAATATTTTATGAAACATGTTAGCTCTCAAAACACATTAGCTTGAACTCCAAAAACGCTGTTTTCTTTTTCCCTGGGTGAGTGAGGGGGAAAGACACGAGGGGATTCCACCTCCAACTTCATCCACGAGCAATCGTGTATGTCAGCTCGTATGATATTTTCTAGCCATGTTTCTATAGAGAAGTTAATCAAATTCCAAAGATGAAATTATAGTTTTGAGATATTACTCTTTGTTATTTTTTCCCCTTTTCATCATTGGCTAGCACCAACTGTCACCACCAAATGAAACAGAAATTGAATAGTATCAAAAGAAAAGGCACAGAATCAGCCCAAGTATCAAATAAACTGTATCAAGTACTTTTATCATAAATCATCGATAACAAAGAGAAAGGACAGATACCAGGAGGCGGGACAGGGGTGAGGTTATTGCACACTGCACAACAGACATTAGTAGCTCCTCTGGGATAAAGAAGAATTGTCCTACACCCACTGCACACCAACGGACTCTGCATAGCTGCACTCCGAAATCAAAACCAAATACTCATACCACTCCTACAGTAACAAACAAATGCTTAACTTTCAAGCTCCCACGTTACACAAATCAAACAAAATTCATGAGCTGAACGAATCACAATAAGTAACTTTCATATAATTTACTTCAATCTATGCCTAAAATATCAAGCATTATCCTCGCATTCAATCACCAATCCTTTAATACTTAAGGGTTCCAAAAATAAAAGAAATCCCCAACCCATAAATTCATAAATACTCAAATTCTCAAACACCAAGAAAATAACCAAATTTCATCAACCAAAAAAGTCAATTAAGCTTATCTATCCATCAATTTACCCTATTTTCCATAGCCATAATTTGGATTCCACCACCTTCATAAGAAACTGATTCTCAAACATTGAAACACATTAAAACCCAGAAATTAAAGAAAAGCAATTCTTACCAGTGTAGGTAGGATGAAACAAATTGGGTGATATACAACAGAATTGGCGATTTCGAGTACTCTGGAAAATGGGATAGGATTACAATGGAAATATTGTAAGAATGGCAATTTATAGATTTTCAGAATTTGGATTCGGTAATCTTATCGGAATTTCTCCTTTGTGTTTTTTTGTTCTTATTAAATGTTCTTCTCCGTTAAATAAATATTATTCAAAGGATGTGTTTTTGACTTTTTATGGGTTTTCAATTGGGAACTTCTTTTCTTTTCCCAAAATTCATTTGGGTCGCCCTGTTTGTTTTATGGTTTAAATGATTCACCTCTCTATATTGGCCTCTATTTTATTGTTTATTCTCTATATTTAGATAGTAAAATAAAGAATGAACTCTTCAACTATCCTGTCATACTACACATTAGCATCTCTTTTCTGATGTAGCTCATAGCACGAGCTACCCCGTTGATTTTAAATTTTTCTAGGTCAACATTGTTGGATCGTGTTGATCTCTTAGCGTATAGAGTTTTACTATTTTTTTTCTTTTTGTATTGTCTATGTATTTTATATTTTGATTGGACGAGATTAATGTATATGGTCGATGAGACCAGTTCCGAGGTTTTGGTTCTTGTGTATAGTTTTGTCTTTCGAGATCACATTGGGGCCTTTCTACATATTTTGTATCTTATATACATATCTATGCTATAAGACCACCTTTTCTTATTGATACTTCCCCGTAGTTTTATCTTTAAGTGTTTTATCACTTGTACTAATTAATTTTTTGCTTACCTACTGGGAGTTTATGATAGACACTATCATAGGTTGATTTCGGGTTGTGATCGTTTAGCTACAATATGGGGTTAACATTTGGCTTAGTGACTATTTTGAGAAGCTTAATGTGGGTTGTATCCAGTCGGACCATTGTTATTTCTTCAAAGGTTCGAACTTTTCACTATCGAATTATTGTGCTATACAAATATGCAGACTTTGAGTTCATTGTTGGAGATGATTCCATCTTAAGCTTGATGCAAAAATTAGTGAATTAACACTTTGAGATACTTGAATTTGAAGATTTGAGCTTAAAAGCTCCACTAAAGGAGCTTGAAGATCAAAACAAAGTTTTCAATTAAGATTTATTGTTGACAAATATATGTACTCAAAAGATCGATGACTAGAGTGTTGTAACTCCGAGTTGGGTTTGTTGTTGCCACTACATATTAGAGGTTTCCTTTGGTTGAATCATTTTGAAAAGAAAATCTCGATCAACAAAGTTGATCTTCTGAAAAAGAAATTTAATGGACTAAATATGTTATTCACAATCTAGCATTGTTTTAACTTGTGAGCGATTGTTGTTTAAAGTTAAAATCAAGTCCAACTACTAATTAACTGTACCAAGAAGATCGACATGCTATAACAAAGACATATTATTCACCAATTTTTTCTTTAATCATTGGGTGTTGTTTGAAGATTATGGATTTTAGTTCTTGTGAGTTTAATTAGTTTAATGGATCTAGTTAAAGAGGCGATCATGTAAATCAAATGATTTTAAGTAAAATCAGGCAATTAAAGTTGATTTGGGGAAATCCATCCAATTAAGAGGTATTTTTTAAATGAAAATCTTGATCATCGTATGTGAAATCATAAGAAAACAAATTTGATGGATTGGATAGTTTATTCACGATCCAATACTATTTTAACTCGTTGGAGATTGTTATTTAAAGCTTAGATAAAGTTTAACTGCTTAATCATACCAAGAAGACCAATATGATACATCAAGGGCAGATTATCCACCTGAATTTTCCTTATTTGATGGGTATTGTTTGAAGGTTGAATTAAGCAAGATTTCTTCAATTCAGTTATGAGTTTAATTTCTTACAAGTTTAATTATGTCACGCCCAGAGCCTACACCCTGGATGTGGCCGACACCCAATGACCATTGTTGGCCTTGAGCGAACCCTTGGCTTGGTATACTTAACTCACTGGAAGACTTAGCTTAACTCAACTATAAATAAGAAACATTCTCAAGAGAAATACTTAATTATATTAGTCTGACCAGATTGACACTTAAATCTCAAGATGAAACATCAGTTAATAAGGAGAGACCCAAAAGTGAGTTATCTGACTGTCTATGAAGTCTCTACTATACTACATGGATGTTGGGACAGACTCCACAACATATTATAAATGAAATACTAGAAAGAAAATAAAAGTGTTCTCCAGAATTCAAGGAGGCTCACCATTGACTTCAAATGCTCAACTAGATCAACGAGACGCTGGATGCTGATCATGGTTACCTTCATCTGCATCATAAGACGATGCAGGACAATTGACATAAGTACATTGAATGTACTTATGTCAGATACTTTGAAGGCGAGGGCTTTCTCCATTTTTTTCAAAGTGTGGGATGACGGTGGCCTCGACGCCCCGTTGAGCCATTGACGCCCCGTCAACCTCTTTCCGTCGCGTGTAATAGTAGCTAGGTAAGCAAGAGCCTTCATGAATCTTTCTAAGTGTGGGATGAAGGTAGCCTCGACGCCCCGTCGATCCACACACAGACCATCGTCTGTCCCGTCGATGCACACTGCCAGGCAGTGCTGCATCAAATTGTAGGGGTCCTCCTTAAGAGCTCTTGGTTGGTCCTTGAGGAGTAGTACCCAGACGTTTCAATCATGAAACAACTCAGACACCCATTAACTACCTTTCCACTCATTTTCGTACATTTTCGACTCCAAAAAGTTATTCAAAAGGCGAAGGCAAATTAACACCCCTTTGAACCAACTTCCCGGACGTTTTTGGACGTTTTGGTTCTTAAACCTCCTAAATGACCTATATTCATTGAAAATGGACTTAGAAACAGTGTTTAGACTATATGACACCGATTTTAGGATTTACAATGAGTCTTGGATTTTCAAGGTGTTACACTTCCAACTCAAGACCCAACCTCGGCATATGATCCTGGGCTCGACTTTCGAATTGGGATTTGACCCCAATACCCACCCCGACATCTGACCGAGACCCGACCACAACTCCCGACAAGGACCTGACCTGAGACTCAACCCCGATATCCGACCCTAAACCCAACTTTGAAATATGGATATGATCTCGACACCCGACCCCTTACCCTAGCATCCGACACAAGACCCGACCTCGACTCTGACTCTGACCTAGGATTCGACTTATGACCCAAATTCTAAATTGAGATCGACCCCAACTCCCGATCTAGGACATGAGTTTCAAAATGGGACCTAACCACAAGACCCGACTTTTGAACCATGATCTAATTCCGACAATCGACCTCATCGATTGATTCGGGACCTAAATTCGAACCCGAAACCCGAAGCCGACATTTGACTAGGGACTCAACCTCGACTCTCAATGTGAAACCCAACTCCAACACTTCACATGAAAACTCATCCTAACACCTTTTTGGGACCCAACCCAAAATATGACCCGATTCTTGATGGACGACCCGTCATCCAAAACGGGATTTGACTTGGGACATAAGAGTTGAGTCTCGAGTTGAGGTCGGGAGTCGGATTCCAAGTCAAGAATCGGGAGTGGAATCTCAAATTAGTAACGAGAATCGATACTCGAGACATGAGGAAATACCAAACACATAGTACTATTTTTTTAGGAAACTTACATAAATATACTATAATAAAAAAATATTTACCATTAATAACAATAACATTTTTTTCACTTGACCACTTTAATTCATTTATAATACAAATTTAATATATATTACAAAGATAAATTTATTATTGAAATATAATACAAGTTTTAATGATGAATAATACATTAATCACACATTTTAGTACACTTATAATAGGCAAAAGTATTCATTACCCCCCTGAACTTGAAGCTTTTTATTCGGTGTACACTTAAACTTTATTTTATTTGAATTACCCCCCGAACTTGTTTATTCATCCAACACGTGCACCTTTTCTGTCCACCTGGCGTAGAAATTGAAATCACACTCTACTAGGCGCGTGAGGGAGTGATTTTTTGCCACATCATAAAGCTACAACAGTAAAAAAAATATATAAAATCTCTATTTTTTAATATTGACCTGTCATCATTAACGAAGCCAATGGCCAATTCTTTGTGTAGCAGAGTTGTTTCTCATTGTTGAAAATGGATAAGGATTCCGATTCAGCTGATTGAGCAAGGTGAGAGGAGATGAAGTGTTATGTGAGCTGGAAGAAACAGTGTTGTTTTGCAAAACGGAAAGGAGGTTAGAGTGATGAATTGATTTTGCATTGGAAAGAGAGATGAGAGGAGGAGATACGGTGGTTGGTGGTGGAGATTGACGGCGACCGGGAAAGGAGTTGGAATATGATATGTATTTTTTGTCATTTTAATTTATCTAGGTGACTATTATTTATCTAGGTGGAAATTCACATCATCACTATTTTGGCCAGCTGACGCGCGTGTGTAGTCACACTAGGAGCAGCAAACAAAAAGGTGTACATGATAGTGGAATAAACAAGTTTGAGGGGGTAATTTAAACAAAATATAGTTTAAGTGTACACCGAAAAGCTTCAAGTTTAGGGGATGATGAATACTTTAGCCCTTATAATACAATGTGACAATTTTTTATCAAATAAACATAATATACTATCAAAAATAATTATAATTCAAATATATTGCATACATAATTCATTTTTAATTTATATTATAGATTTATCACGATATTATTATAAATAGTAATAAATAAAAAATATCAGTAATTAGTTTTAAAAATGTTTTAATTCATGTAATTTTTCATTTTTTTCCCCTCGAAGGCCCAAACTACTCGATCCTTTTTTTAACCGTATTCTTCAACCTGCTGGTCCATAATCAATGGATTGAGGTCATCCTTGCCAACAACGGTTCCCAAGTACTGTATTAGTCATTTCCCCTCCTTAACCGCCCACTGGCACTG